ATTATAATTCCAGGTTGCTTCTTTCCTTGATTTTTCATCCATTGTTTCTTGTCCTGCCCTCTTGATGCTTTGGAAAATAAGCTGAACCCCCTCCTCTTTGTGGCAGCCTCTCAAAAACTGGAATACTGCTATCATGTCCCCCTAGTCCTTCTAAATAAAACTCTAGCAAAGTCATATCTTTGATAGTGATAGAATAATTGATGTCATTAATTTGGAGGGGGGGGAGAAAGCTCCACGACACTACAAAGCCCCCCCCCCCCTAGCTTCTCTCTGCCACCAACCAACAGGGCTGCGACCACTACGGCATCTCCCCACGTTGCCAGCAAAGCTACTACCAAAATGAGGTCGGTGAAAACGGGCAGGGTACAAGGCAGCCGCCGAGAAGTTTTAGCAGACCTGATTGAAAAGCCTCAACCGGATCCCAGTAATCAGGGAGCTGGGATAAAAAATCCCAGATTCCAAGATCCAGGCCAAATGGAGAGGTTTTCCCTCCACCCCCCACCCCCAAAAGTGCAAAAGTGCTTCTCGACCTGCCCCTGCGGATCAAAAGGCTCAACCTCTGAGCTGCCATGCCCGAGCGCGAGGCGGGCATAGGAAAGAGGGATTCTCCCGGTTGTTTCCCGCGGCTCCCCGGGAAGCCCACGTTTTTTTCTTACCACGTGACTCTGCCGCTGGAAGAGCCGCAGCCTCTCGCAGCCAGCGCTGTTCCTCGCACCGACGCGCCTCCCTCCCAAGATGGAACGGCAACCTTGCCGCCTGTCCGGACTGGAAGGGGGAGGGGCCAGAACGCCTCTTGGAGGCGGAGCTCAGGCTTGCATTTGCATAGGGCCAGTGTTTCTCAACCTTGACCATTTTCAGGCATGTGGACTTCAACTCCCAGAATTCCACAGCCAGCATTGCTGGCTGTGGAATTCTGGGAGTTGAAGTCCACATGCCTTAAAATGGTCAAGGTTGAGAAACACTGGCATAGGCTAAGCTGGGGACTTTTTTCCCTGGAGGGGCGCGATAGCTTGTTGGGAGAAAGGCATCGCTTGTTATCCTGGCTGATATCCAGAGATGCTTGATTGCTGAAGGTCCATCAGGGCCATCCTAGCTACTTAAGGGCCGACTTCTCCGTGAACCTGTTCAAATGCACTCGTTTGTTTGCTACGTGTGTACTGCTTGGTCCAAACGCGAGTACTACCGCCTTACAAAATAATCCAAACGTGAAAACGGCAGGTAAAGGCATCATACGCCTAACCCACGGCGCCCAAGCTGCTGTTGCTCCTGCTGCTGCTGCTGCTAATAATAATAATAATAATAATAACAACAATAATAATTAATAATAATTAATAACAACATTGGAAGAGACCTTGGAGGTCATCTAGTCCAACCCCCTGCTCAGGCAGGAAACCCTATACCATTTCGGACAAATGGCTGTCCAGTCTCTTCTTAAAAATTTCTAGTGTTGGAGCATTCACAACTTCTGGAGGCAGGTTGTTCCACTGGTTAATTGTTCTAACTGTCAGGAAGTTTCTCCTTAGTTCTAGGTTGCTTCTCTCCTTGACTAGTTTCCATCCGTTGCTTCTTGTCCTGCCTTCAGGTGCTTTGGAGGTGCTTCTTGTCCTGCCTTCAGGTGCATTGACTCCCTCTTCTTTGTGGCAGCCCTGAGATATTTGAACACTGCTATCATGTCCCCCCTCGTCGTTCTCTTTGTTAAACTAGACATACCCAATTCCAGCAACCGTTCCTTATATGTTTTAGCCTCCAGTCCCCTGATCATCTTTGTTGCTCTTCTCTGTACTCTTTCTAGTCTACGACTCTGTTGGCAGTCATAGTTCTCTTGTGAATTTCTGCAAGGCAGTTGTGTGGGTTTTCCCAAGAGGAGATGTATCTGGGGTCCGAGATGTTAAGAGGAGAATTGAATGGAAAAAAGAAAAAACAACTCAGAAGCTAAGAAGTGTGTTGGACCTGCAGAAGCCTGCACTATGGGAAGTAATTTTATTATTGAGAACTCCGGTGGCTTTTGGATTAAAATCGCATTGCTGAAAACCATGCCTTTATTTCTTCCCCCAATCTCACCCCACCTTTGATCATTAATTTTATTCAGAAGTCCCCTGCCTGCCTGCATTCAGACAACTGCCCATCTCAAAATATGTGAGTTTAAGAATGAATAAAAACAAGACAAAAAACAGCACAGTGAAATAAACAACATGGTCCACAGACAAGGTAAATTCCAACCAACACTATTAATGTAACCATAATTTGGAGAGCCAGCAGGGTTGGGGCCAGTCTGATTGCTTGAGGGATGATGGTCCAGAAGTTGGGCTCCAGGACAGAAACAGCTCTCTTCCTGGGTCCTGCCAGAAGCATCTCCCTAATACAGGGGTCCCCAACCTTGTCCACTTTATGACTTGTGAACTTCAACTCCCTGAATGAGGAATTCTGGGAGTTGAAGTCCACAGTCATAAAGTGGACAAGGTTGGGGACCTCTGCCCTAATAGATGTGACCCAGAGCTGCCTCTTCTGCCACATGTAACAAAAGATGGTCCTGCATGAAACTTGGCCTCAAGCCACCTGGCTCCAAGCCTTGTTATTAACCTGCATGATGTTGGTCAAAACATAAAAATGTGCCTTGACCCAGGGATTTCTTAAAAATATGGAAGGAGAAGCAGAGAAAGTGATGCAAATTAACTTACTCGAGCTTAAAGCTCCAGACACGTTGATGCAGCTGTAAGAGACAAATGACTCTGGAAACGAGCATTTCATTATTTTTAGGTTCTGGTATCACATCCTACGGTGAAGGAATTAAGGAATCTGGGCATCAGCTGGCTATGCCTCCAGCTTTTTACTGCAAAACCCCTAAAGCTATTTAGTTTGGCATGCAAGACCCAGTGTTAGAATTTGATGATTATGGGCACTTCGATACACGGAAGAAATTTGAAGGGGGGAGAAGATGGAGGAAAAGAAACTACCCCGTTGCACAAAAAAATACTGTGTACTGTTGTATTTTGGGAATCATCATCTTCCTGCAGAAGTTCAGGATTCATGTGAAAATTCCCGCCATTTTGGAGGAAAACTGCATGAATAAACTCCCTCTACAACATGGTAGCATAGACTAAAATGGATTTCAGCAATGGGAGATCCAGCTACGTGTAATGAGGAGACAAAGGACTAGGTGGGAACTTTGCACACAAAGATGTTATATTTCTGCTTGCAGGGGATGCGGACCACGAGCCACTGGCACGTGAACAAATTTAATAACAAAGTAAGATAGAAGAACGTTTAGGAACATGATTTCTACTCTCCTAATTTGATATAATGCTCTTATGCTACCACCTATAGCAGGGGTGTCAAACTCAATTTCATTGAGGGCCACATCAGCATTGTGGTTGCCCTCAGGGAGGGCGGGTGGGTGCGGCCAGGGTGGGTGCGACCTACTGGGTGGGCGTGGCCAGCTATACATCATTCGCATCAAGGGGGCCTGGGCAGGAGTGGGACAGATCTGAGGGTCTCTGGCAGAAAGGGGTGGGACCAGGGCAAGTGCCAAGGCATGGTCCACTGGAGGAGCCTCACTGTTCCTCTCAGGCCATGCGGGGGGGGGGGGCTAATGGAGCTAAAACTGAATGTGTTTCATCATAGATGGCCACCACAAAATTGTACATTGGCTCCCGGCCGGCCAGGGCCAAGGGAGCTGTTCTCTCACTGTTTCCAGGATGGCTTCGCGGGCCACATGAAACCACTTTGCAGGCCGCATCCGGCCCCCGGGCCTTGTGTTTGACATGTCTGACCTATAGGCTTTTCCTTTCATGCCTCTCTTGATTTTCCTTTCCACGCTTTGGACGTTTCCACCCCTACCCATTCAATGTGTCTGGAAGATGCTGCCATGCCTACATCATCCCCTCAACCTCATTTTTTATCTAGACCAGGGGTGTCAAACTCACCACGTGACGTGACGCGTTGTGACTTTTTCCCCCTTGCCGGAGCTGTGCTTGGGCAGGCCGGCAGTTTGACACCCCTGATCTAGACTGATGTTTCTCAACCGTGGCAATTTTAAGCTGTGTGGACTTCAATTCCAGAACTCCCCGGTCAGCCTTGCCAAGGTTGAGAAACACTGATCTGTGGAGTCCTTGATGCTTTCTGAGCTTCATGATCTGTTTGCAGACATTTCATTACCAACTAGGTAACATCATCAGTGTGAAGGAGGGTGGGGTTTGCTTCCAGTTTACCTACAGTAGCTTGCCTGGCTAGGGTTCATGGGGGTGTGGTTTTCTCCTTGGTAGAATATCTGGTTGGGTAATAAAACATCTGCAAACAACCAACCTCAGAGGGCAAAGAGCTTAAGCTACAGGTATTCTCGTCTATTGAAACACTGATCTAGATTATTGAACATCTTTATTACTTCAAAGAGTTAAACTCTTTGCCTATTGCCCAGCATCATTATAAGGGCAGCCATATAAATTGCTTAAACAAACCACCAACTGACTCCCAATGACTCTGGGTGCTGATCTTATTATAGGATTTATTGATTAAAGAAAATAGTAATCACAAGAGATGTAAGCAGAGTAGGCCATGGCGAAATGTTGAAGAATAGGCCTGTGAGGGCACTTTTGAGAAAAATCTGTTTTTGACGAGTTATTTCCTACTATGTTTCACTGTACTGCAGGGGTGTCAAACTGCGGGCCCGCGGGCTGGATGTGTCATGGCGAAACTGCGCCCACTCTTGTCAAAAGAAAAAAAGTCGCGGTATGTCACGACACGTCACGTGACGTTTCGAGTTTGACACCCCTGCTGTACTGTGATCGGCTGCAGCTCCTCTCCCAAAATCTCCACAGAGGCCAAAACGTATTCTGCAAGGAGCCACACGACATCCAGAAACATCCCTTGCAGATACGGACTTGTCAATCTATTCAGTTCTCTAATCCCGGCTGACGGCCAAGTGCCAAGATTTCAGAAAATGACCCACTTCTAACCTGCGCTGCTACCCCAGAGAACAAAGAACCGCAGTGTGAATCGAGGACTTCTTTACAACCTTTTAATGTATCGGTATGTTTAAAAGCCACCAATGCCCCTTTGTGCTCGACTCTTAGCCGTCTGCCGTTTTACTCCAATGCTGACGTCATTATCACTCTCTCTTGAGATTGCGTGTTAAGACCCGAACACCAACCCTGCCCCTCTAGGATGTCCCTCCTGGGTGGATTTTCATGTGTTTATGAAACATGGAAGAACTCTGATATGAATCTGTTCGTAGACCGCCAAGTTGGGATTTCCTACTGATGCTTTTCGCACTAGCAGGAGCACTTATGCAGCTAGCTGCTTGGCCATATATACTAACTATAAACTAAGCTTCCTGAGATGTGAGCTAGAAACCAAGCTCTTCCCACACTCGGGCACCTATACAGTCTCTCTGTTATAGTGTTGACCCTCACGTGGATCGCTATCAGCACTGATACGGCGTCTGGCCAGTGTGCGTGTCCTTTTGTGTATTTTCAACTGGAAGCTGGTCTGAAAGCTTTTACCACATTCGGAGCACTTGTAAGGCTTTCGCCCGTGTGGGTCCTCTCGTGTTTCTGTCAATGAAGCTTTCCAAACACCGGTGCAGTTTCTCACCCGTGTGCATCCTTTTTACAGAGTTTTAGGCGGTAGCCGATCCGGAAGCTTCTCCCACACCTGAAGCATTCATACAGCTTCTCTCCTGTGTGGAACCTCTTGTCTTTCATGAGGGCAACTGACCAATGAAGCTTTTGCTGCAGTCTGGACTTTTATATGGCTTCTTTGCTGTGTGGGTCCCGTTGTTCTTCGTGAGGTTTGTTTTCCAGCCAAAACTTCCCATGCTCTGAAGAAGTAACAGTTTTCTCTTGCTGAGGGAGTGCTTCCCTACTGAATAATGGGGGGGGGTTGCTGTTAATTTTCTAACAGTGTAAATATTTATGTAGTTCATCCTTGCACATGTGGAGTATCTGGAACGCTGATGGTTGCACACCATCTCTGGCTCCTCTTAATTCCGTGTTGCTGTTTTTTGCCGCACTGAAAATTGGCCTCTTTTTAAGCTTTCATCGTCATCTTCAGTCAGGAAAGCGTCACTGTCTTTCTTTCCTAAACGCCTTTGTGCTCCCGGTGGATTTACTCACTTTTCTTTAACCCCAGAACCCCAGAAATACAAGCTTTTGATTCCCTCCAAACTCTTGCAAATATCTATTTCTTCAGATCTTCCCACCTGGAAAGTTTTCTCCTTATGTCTCTGTCATATTCTGAGAGAAACAGGAAAAAAAAATTATGTAACTTTTCTCCCAACAATGAATTCCAAACAAACAACTTCTGCTATGAGTTCTAGTATTGCTGGGTCTCCTCACATGCCACCTCTTCCATCATCATCATCATCATGTTGTTGGAAGGGACCTTGGAGGTCATCTAGTCCAACCCTCTCCAACTGTCTTTAAAAGACCACCTCATCTTCCCCTCCTAAATTGAAGACATCCTACATTTAATCATGTTCATTTGATGGTTTTCCACACTAGCTGAAGGCTACACTATCTGAAGGCCCCAGCTTGGGAGGACCTCAGCATCAAGAAGACTGTTCAAAGAATAGTTCATATGTCAATAAGCCACCCATTTATTTATTTTTTAACAAACAGAATGAATGGGCTCACTCACTAACATTTTAAATATCATCGTAGCTTGGTCCATGCAACATTCTAGTTTGGAAGGACCTCATCATTAATAAAGTCCTCTTCTAGGTCTAAGCCACTGATTTACTTTAATATATTTCTTAATTAAATACAATGAGCGGGCTCACTCACTAACAATGTACAAACTGTTGACGGCTGGGCACATGCAACATTTCTAAGCCAGCAGTCCCCAACCTTTGCAGCTTGGCAGCCTGGCAGGTGAGCAAGAAGGCAACGGGGCTGCGTGAGGAATAGGCCAGCACACATGTGTCATGCCTCCATCGGCTCCGAGGAAGACACGGAGTTCCCTGTTGAGGCCCAGGAGGGGGAGTCTGTGGCTTCGGAGGACTGTAGGGAGGAGCAGGCTGAGGCAGGCCAGGGCCCTTCAGGTTTGGAACAGGGAAGGCAGAGTTCAGGGGAGGAGCAAGGCCCCTCCCCACCTGATCCTAGAGCAAGGAGAGCAGAGAGGAGGAGAGAACAAGGGAGGCAGGCTCACTTGTTCCGGAGGAGAACGTCCCGCCCCACTCCACAAGGCACACCTGGGGATTAGGATTTAAGGAGACGCTGTGGGGTGGGGCATTTGCCGGGAACAAACGTAGGATCTTGAGATTGTTCTGACTTGTGCTCTCGTAACCTGGACACGGTTTATATTCTGGACCAGTTTGTTTCCTGATTCACGACCACAAATTACATTCCTGATCTCTTCTTGCAGTCTGCAGTTTGCAGTTCGCAGGCAAGCTGAGAGTTAAAAGAACTCTTTACTTGTTTTCTTGTTATCTGTCTTACCTTGAGAAAAGTGTAAACTTCCCTGGCTGTATTGTTTGAACTCGTGCCAGCATATGTGGGGGGGGGGGCTTTTGGGTGAACATTGGCAGGGATTAAAAAGACTATTGCTCTTGCCAGCTGATTGCTTTGCCTCCGTTCGGGGCCCTGGGTCATCACACATGTGCACACATGTCAGCCTGTCACTCGTGTGCGTGTCAGCCTGCCTCTCATGCGGCCAGGTTACAGATAAGCCACAGTCCGGTAGTGGGCCACAGTCCAAGGTTGGGGACTCCCTGTTCTAGGCCAATCAAATGAAGTTATAACTAAGCTCAGCCTTTCCTAGATGGCCGTACTTCAGTTCCCAGAATCCTTCATTCCTGATCGATCTGTGCAACAGGTCAGATAAAGCAATGGGCCAGAAGAGTGGGAGGTTCCCCTTCATTATAGCCAGGAAGAAACTAGGTAGCTTTGTATGTGGGGTGGCTGAATTTGGATCCCCACCCTGCACAACTGTTTGGATTTCCTGGCTTTCTCGAAATGTAAGACTCTATCCCAGGGGTAGTCAACCTTGGCTCTTTTATGACTCGTGGACTTCAACTCCCAGAATTCCTGAGCCAGCCATGCTGGCGCAGGAATTCTGGGAGTTGAAGTCCACGAGTCATAAAAGAGCCAAGGTTGACTACCCCTGCTCTATCCTCTCTGCCAAGAGACTACAGATCTTGTCATGGAGAAAAATCTATGTGGCTGCTCAGAGTCAACATGAGTTGATGGTACACAATAATCACTCCATCAAGTTATGGGTCCACCTGACAGAAGTCAAGAACAAAGGAGACAGCTAATCTCTGTAACTCTTATATCAGCCCAATAAAACGGACAATGGAAGACCTCTTGTTGCTGTGTACAGTGTGGCAGGAAAGAATGGGAGAGCTATCTGCGGAACTAGAGACTCGACTATGGAAACCTATTTGGAATAGGAAGAAACCCAGAATAAGATATAAATATTAAATTTGAGATGATAATTGATGGATGGTAAAGGTTTTATAGCGACTCGGATTGTTTTGGATTTGGATTTTGTTAAAAGGGAGGCTATTATGAAATGATTTAGAATTTAATACTGAAATGTAACAAGAATATGCTTCTTTTTTCTCTCTTTGCTCTTTATTCTTTGTTCTTTTTTTTTTTTTGGAATGAGATGGAATTAATAATTGGAGAATTATTGAAAAAGAATAGATTTAAATAAGAGAAACTTGGGGTACCTGAATAGTAAATATATAGGTTAGTTTAAATTTTAACATTTGAAAAATTAATAAAGTGTAAAACAGGATTTTTGGGACAGATAATGAGCTCTTCTAAACGTTTATTGATTAATGAAATTCATGTGTAGTAATATAAATTAAAATTTGTTTTAGAAATGTATTAATGAGATTATAATATATCTTAAATAAATGGAGAGTTTCAGTTTAAGTTTAAATATGTGAGAAATTATAGATTTGTATAGAATAGACACTGAGCGATTGAAAGTTTTGATTGATTAAGAGAATTTATATTTAGATATATTAATGAATGATTTTATTCGAATCAATTTGATTATAATATTATATATAGATAGAGAGGGAAATTTTAAGAAATATTGTGTGAACTGTATATTTATAATGCTATTGTTTTCTTTTTGTAATTGAGCACCATATCTCCACGTTGGATCTTAAGACTCTGTTGGTGCAAAATGGAAATAAAAATTGTTTAAAAAAAGGGGGGGGGGACAGCTAATCTAATACCATTAATGCTCAACTGGCAGTCATGTCTTTCCCATCCTCTGCAAACTGATCCTTTCAAGCCAAGACTCTGGGAACCAAAAATTCCACGATTGGAACTGGGACCTTTTTCCTCTCCAGAAAAATGGCATTTGGCTTGGTGAACCATCCAATGTGAAAATACGGCCTAGCCCAGTGGTGGCGAACCTATGGCACGCGTGCCATAGGCGGCACTCAGAGCCCTCTCTGTGGGCACGCGCACCATGCTCGAAGATGGCAACCGTCCCTCTTCAACCAGCCGCCCACTAACTCGCCGAGGTCCCACATGGCCGGATGCATCCCAGCACCCATGCACTCGCTGGCCTCTGTGTGCGGGGGCCGATGGTGTCAGGCAGCAGCCGCCCCGGCCTCACCTTGCCCTGTGACAATGGCACCTCCACCTTGCCTTGCCTCACCTCACCCTGCAGGATGAGCCTCCTGCCCACCGCCCCACCTGCCAGAGACCCCCTGGATCTCCCCCAACCCTGCCCGGCTCCCACAAGTGTCCCTCCCCACGAGCAACATCAAGGTGTTCACGCCCACCTTGGCCACACCCACCCAGTCTGCCATGACCTCCACAGCCACGCCCACCCAGTGAGCCTCGGCCACCTGGCACCCGGCAATAAATAACTGGGTTTTGGGTTGCAGTTTGGGCACTCGGTCTCTAAAAGGTTCGCCATCACTGGCCTAGCCAGTTTGTTCTGCCAGATGGGTTTTGAAACCCTTTCAAAACAGAGAGCACGTTAGTCCAAAGCACCCCATGAATGTTTCCAATGAATCTGCATCCTTACCTAATTAGTTGGCCTCCCCGTCACTCTCTTGCTTTATATCCATAGGAATCTTCACCTTCACAATCTCAAAGGCTTCTTCTTCCTGTTTCGGAGGTTTGAGCATCGTATTCTTTGGGATGACTGAAAAGAAGAAAAAAAGAAAAGAAACTTGATTCAACAAAAACAAGTCCTGCAGGATTGTGCACTAGACTTATTCTTCATTCTCTCCCAGATGAGTAATACTTAAACCAGCCTGGAAGAGGGCATCCAATTTGGAGAGTTAATGGACAAAAATGACTATTCTGGAGTCAATTTTGAAGCCTGCATTCACCAGTAAAATCACATACTAAATCAGAATTGGAGAATGAGTCATCCTCAACTTACGACTGGTCATTTTATGTAAAGCACTTCTGGCCACTGTAAAATGTTGTGGGGCCCTCTCGGCACTCAAGTGACTGCACTGTGGGTGCTTGGCAATGGGCTCACCATTATGACCATGCAATTACATGACTATAATCTGAAATATTTTTCCCAGTTTTTCCCACTCAGAATGGGTTCACTTAACAACCATGCTGTTTGCTGAAAGACTGTGTGATTTGCTTAATGACCACTAAAAAAAATGTCAAAAAACAACAACATTTTGTCACTCATATGAATGGCCCAACCCTACAACTTATGACCAGATTCCTGGTTGCAATTGTGGTTTTAAATTGAGGAGTACTTATAGGTGTAATTTGCACGCCCCTAATAAAAATACTTTTTATTTCTTCTACCCCTAATATGACAAAAGAAAAGGAAATAGCTTGAGCCAGCCAGAATTTAGCAGCAATAAATTCTTTGGAGCCACAATTTTGTAGCGAGATTCAGATGAACTGGCACAGAAGCACAGAAAAAACAATTGACTGTTAACTCTGCAACAAAATGCCCCAAAAACCTTTACTACTTCACCAGAGATGCTGGTAAGAAAAGATGACATTGTGTTATTTAAAAATGGTTAAATGGATTTAAAAATGGTTGAATGGAAACTAAGCGTGTGAAAAGTTGGTCTATTGTGTAAGTACGAAATTTAGATTGTATCGAGAGCCAGTTTGGTTTACAGAGGGTGCTCGGGTTACCATGGCAACTGGGGGAGCACAGATGTCATGGGACTGCACTGCTTAACAACAGCAATTCTGGCAGTCCAGCTTGCCAATGTTAAGCGAGGACCTCACGTGACCGCAACTTCCAACTTCCTGCCAGCTTCCCATTGCCTTTGCTTGTGGGAAGCTGGTAAGGAACATCAGAAAGTGCAGTCGTGTGGCTGTGGGAATACTACAATCGCTGGAACTCCAAGTACCCCTCTTTCAGTCCCATCCCAAGTAAGAAAGGTCACTGAATGGGTGGTCTTAATCCAAGGATCACCCGTGGTATTTAAGGCCCTGGCTCAAAAACAAGAGACTCTGAATTCTAGTTCTGCCTTAGGCATTAAACAACAAATCTTGCCAAGAAAACATCAGTACTAACCCAAGTATAAAGGGTCCTTGATGCTCTCTGAGCTTTTGTTGTTTTCTTGCAGACATTTAATTACCCAAACAAGATTAACATTATCAGTGCTAGTACTGTGACTAGCCCTGATGATGTTACCTAGTTTGGGGCAATGAGACATCTGCAAGAAAACAACCAAGCTCAGAGAGCACCAAGGACCCCACATTTCAAAAAATATTCTCCTTTATTGGTACCAGTCCACTTAGCTGCCACCATCAAAAAGATTTAAAGACACCCCAAAAAAGTTGTTACCAAATCTTTTTTTTTTTAAAAAAAGAGCACAAAATCAGATTTTAAAATTACAATACCTGTAAACATCAAATCGGATACATATGCTTTGAAAGGTTCGTGGTTTTCCAAGTTTTCAGGAACGTCGGATCCACTCGCGTAGCTGGTTGATGGCTGAGGATCATCAGGGTGTTCTTTTACAGTGGATCGAAAGGGCAAAAGGGAGGGAACCGGAGCTGGGGAAGAAATAATTTTCTTCTGGAACCCACTATGTCTGCTTTCCACACTTTCTTTCCTTTTTTCTTCATATATTTCACGATAACACTTCAGGATCTCACGCATTTCCCAGTGCACCCTTCTAAAACGTTCCACATCCGGATCCATACTCTCCAATTCTGATAAAATTTTGTTCACGCCCGAGAAAACACTGGCCAACCTTTTCAGACTGAACGTTTTGGGCTGAACTTCTACAACTTTTTTTTGTTCCACTTTTCTCTCTTCTTTTTTTTCTTCCTTTTCTACCTCTTCCTCCACCACCTTTTGTTCTTCCAGTTCTTCCTTCAGTTCAATCAATTCTTCGTTGGAAAGCTCTCCCTCCGTGTAAGCTATCAAACTTCTCACATCTTCGGCCTCGACCTCTAAATCCAGGGATTTTGTGAGGGTCAAAATCTTCTTATTGATCCGGTCTAAATTTTGGTGCTGCTCAAATTCCTCCAAGTTATCCGCCAGAGCAGAAAAACATTTTAAGCACTTTTTCCAAATGCCTTGCATGCATTTCACACTGACATCCTGCCAGGCTGCTACGATGTTTTCGATACAATCCAGGATATTGTAGCTTTTCCAAAACTCGCTCAGTGTTATTCTGTCGTTTTCCATCGTGGCTAAAGCTTTGGCAAACACGGCGTGCAAATAGTAGGCCTTGAATGCTGAAATTGCTCCCTGGCTCATAGGCTGTAGGAGCACGGAGGTGTTTTGGGGTAGATAAACTACCTTTACGTCGGGGTGGAAACTGTCGAGATCTGGGGGATGTCCAGGGGCTTTGCTTAAGATCAGAAGAATTCTAAAAGGAATTCCCTTTTGCCAACAATATTCCTTTACTTGGGGAATGAAACAATTCATAAACCAATCCTCAAACAGGGTGGGCGTTATCCAGGCCTTAAGATCAGACCGGAAATAAATGGGCAGTGCGGCTTTGTTAATGTTTTTGAACATACAGGAGTGATCCGATTTGTAGATTACAAATGGCTTCAGCTTGAACCCGGCAACATTTCCGCCCAATAGTACAGTTACTCTATCTTTGAATGCTTTACAACCAGGCATCGCTTGGGCCTCTTTGTGTATGTAGGTCTGCTCCGGCATTCTTTTCCAGTACAACCCAGTTTCGTCCATGCTGAATATCTGCGCGGGAAAATAGTTCCCTTCCGCTATGATACCGTCAAGTTCATTCAGAAAGCGTTTGGCAGCTTCCTCATCACCATTTGCAGTCTCACCCGACGTGTGTGTTTTCTGGTAATGGAATCTTTGCTGAAACCGCATAAACCAGCCACGGCTGGCCGTGAATGTTTCCGTGCATTCCTCACCTGCTCGTTCTTTCAGCGTGGAGAAAATGCTGCGCGCCTTGTTCTGAATGAGGAGAAGGCTCACCGGCAGCCTCTTCTGTATCTGATCTTCGATCCAGAGTATAAGGAGTTTTTCCATTTCGTGGATGAGGCCTTTTCGCTGCCTGGTTATACTTACATTCATTCCCGATGACCCTTTCATGGCCTCTCTGATCCTTTCCTTGTCCTTCAAAATGGCAGAGATGGTAGAGTGGGCCAGGCCTTCTTCTCGCGCTATATTAGTCACTTTCTTCCCATCAGCATACGCTTTGATGATCTTCATCTTCAAATTGAGACTGATGACTTTCCGTTGTTTCTTTCTTATTCCTTCTGGCGTGTTGGAGTTTTTTCTCTTTGCAGGTAACTTGGTATGGGATATAAACATATAAACATGTAAATAAGCAAGTAAAAATAAGAGCAACATTATCTGTGATGCTGGCTCTAATAGCTAATATGTGGCTGAGAGAGAGAGAGTGAAGATGTGAAGTTGTAAATGCCCACGGTGGTCACAAAATTAATTTGATACTACAGGTAACCCTCAACTTACAACCACAGTGGAGTTCAAAATTTCTGTGGCAAAGTAAGACATTTGTTAAGTGAATTTTGCCCCAATTTACAACCTTTCTTATCACAATTGTTAAGTCACGGGTCGGCAACCCGCAGCTCCGGAGCTGCATGTGGCTCTTTGAGCCTTCTTCTGCGGCTACCAGCCTTCTCCGCCATTTGCAGAGAGAGAGAGAGGGAGAGGGAGAGAGACTTGCGCTTTCCTTCTCTCTCTCTCTCTCTCTCTCTCTCTCTGTGTGTGTATGTGTAAAAAGAGAGTGGCCTCACGCTGTTCTCGGACAAGCTGACAAGCTTATTGGGCGGGGCTCCTGCCTTTGTTGCGGTCTCAGCAGGAAGCAGCATGTCTCTCTCTCTCTCTCTTACACACACACACACACACACACACACACACACACACACACTGAGTAGGGGAAGAGGACTGGCAGACCAAGGGCAGGAGAGAGCCAGCCCAATAAGAATGTGTGTCAGCTTGTCGGAGAACAGTGTGAAGCCAGCTTGCCAGATGAGCAGAAGATCAGAGAGAGGGAGGAGAGAGAGAGACAAAGAGAGAGAGGGAGAGGGAGAGGGAGAGGGAGAGAGAGAGAGAGAGAGAGAGAACTCATGCATAGCAGCCTCTATTTCTTTTTAAGTAAACTCTTCAATCAAGCTTGGCTCCCAGTGTTTTCTTTTCTCTGGGAAACGGGTCCAAGTGGCTCTTTGAGTGTTTAAGGTTGCCGACCCCTGTGTTAAGTGAATCATTCAATTGGTAAATTAGCAAATTGTCAAGTGAATCTGGCTTCATTGACTTTGCTTGTCAGAAGGTCACAAAAGGGGATCATATGACCTTGCAACTGTCATGAGTCAGTTGTAAAGCATTTGAATTTTGATCGCATGATAATGGGAGGCTGCAATGGTTGTAAGACTGAAAAGCAGTCATAGGTCTCCTTTTTCAGTGCAGCTATAACTTCAAACAATCATTAAGTGAACCATTTTAAGTCAAGGACTATTGTATTTCTGAATGGTCATTAACCAAAGTAATTACTAAACAGGAAGTGGCTGCATCTCATTTTGGGCAATTGCCTACAAAACAGCAGATCACGTTTGGCTGGCTTTTTACACAATAGCTTCACAAGTCAAAATACAACCACTTCTCATTTAGCTGCTACCTCAGTAAGCAACTGTTCACAAACACAGGTAATCTTCAACTTGCGGCAATTGAGCCCAGCATTTCTATTGTTAAGTGAGCTTTACCCCATTTTACGACCTTTCTTGCCACCGTTAAGCGAATCACTGCAGTTGTTAAGATAGCAATACAGTTGTTAAGTGAATCTGGCTTCTCCATTGACTTTGCTTACCAGAAAGTCACAAAAGGTGATCACATGACCCCAGGACACTGCAACGGTCGTAAATACGAACCGGTTGCCAAGTGCCTGAATTTTGATCACATGACCATGGGGATACCGCAACGGTTGTTAAGTGTGAAAAATGGTCATAAGTCACTTTTTTCAGTGCCATTTTAACTTTGCGAACTGTTGTAAGTCAAGGACTACTTAACAATAACAATAATAATAAAGTTGGAAGGGACCTTGGAAGTCATCTAGTCCAACCCCGTGCTCAGGCAGGAAACCCTATACCATTTCAGACAAATGGCTGTCTAGTCTCTTCTTAAAAACTTCCAATGTTGGAGCATTCACCGCTTCTGGAGGCAGGTTGTTCCACTGGTTAATTGTTCTAACTGTCAGGAAGTGTCTCCTTAGTTCTAGGTTGCTTCTCTCCTTCATTATTTTCGATCCGTTGCTATACTATTTGTATAGCGCAGTAATAAAACAACGGACAGCTTCGTTTCCCCACCCACCTCCAGTCCAACCGAAACTGAAACCCAAACTCTGAACTCTGCTACTGCAACTGACTAGTAACTCATTTCCCAGCTTAATAATTTTCCTGGCTTTTTGTGCCACCCTCATATTCCTTCCTTTCCCCCCCCCTCCCCCTCTTTTCAGCCTTTAGGGACCGGATATTACCTGGGCCCTCTCAGTATCCTGGGGGTTGAACTGCTTGAGGTGCAGGGGCCACTGCCTCTCCATCCCCATCTTCTCCAGGGTCTCTTTCATCTTCCTGCAGGACTCGAGTTTTTTCCTGCCTATCCAGGCTTTTCCACGGACGCTGGGATCCCTGGTGGCTTCTCCAGAGCTCCCCTGCCGCGGATCTTCCCTGACTCTCCCCAAGGAGGCCTGGAAATCTTTGGCATCCTCCTCTGACGGAGGCGGAGACGCCGGAGACAGCCACGCCACGCTTTTCAAGAATTCATGCCATTCAGAGTCCCAATATCGGTGCGTTTCCTCCTCGGACTCGGTCTTGATGTGGGGGAGGCCGCCCCTGTTCAGAAAATCCTCGATCGTCTTCACTTGGACCACAATCGGCTCTCCTTCCTCTCTCTCGGTTCTTTCTTCCTCTTCTTCTTCTTCTTCTTCTTCCTCCTCCTCCTCCTCCTCCTCCTCGTGCACCACAAGTTCCTGTTCCTCCATAGTTGTTCCCTCCCTGCAGGAGGGGGAAAGAAAGAAAGGAAGAAGGAAAACATTACAGAGAGTCACGGAGGCCAGGCGATGTCGGGAGGAATTTTAAAAAAATGACCCCCCGTCTTACCTCTCTTAATAGAGTTTCTCTTAAGAGTTGCCCCCCTCCCCCCAGAGATTCCCTGGTTGGAATAAAGCCACATTTCCCTGCTTGGGTCTGGGGATCCTTGGGCTAAGGGATCCCCGGGGATCCCTTAACCCAAGTTGAAATAAAGAAGTAAAGAAACGGGGAGCTCAGTCGAAGCCACGTGTGCCGCCGATCCCGGCCTCCCCCTCCAGCCTCCCTCGGTCTTTCTCTCTCCCCCACCCCCGATCCCCGGGGGCCTCCCTTTGCGCAGGGGCCGGGGCCTTCGCGTCGGGAGGCCTCTCTTGCCATGCCAAGTCCGGCCAAGCTTTGCAACGAGAGCTCCCTTTGTCTTGGGGAGGCACCTGGCCTTTCCAAAGCGGGGTGTGGGTAGGAGAAGCGATTCGCTTTACGGCCTGCTCGTTGCACCCCCCCCAACCGGGGGAGGAGGGGGGGTGGTTTTAAGTGCCGGTTGCAAGCGATCGGCCAAGTTAAAATGTACTTTTTTTTTCTCTCTCTCTCTCTAAATAACGATAGACGCGATCGTCCCCATTCGGGCGAACATTTGTCCTCCGCTTCCGCACTACTTTTTTTTTTTTTTTTGGAAAACTGATCTGTAATAACCCGGGGGTGGGTGGTGGGGGTGGTGGGGGTTCATTCGCTTGCATTGCACCCCGGCGATGCTTCGCCCTGCCGCCGCGACGGTTAGTATATTAGTAGTATTTGTTGCTTCTGCCATGCGCCTTACCTTCCCCGATCCGGGCTGCAGCCTCGCGGGCGATCCGCGTTCTTTTTCGGAACGGGAGGGGGTTGGGGGGAAAGAGAGAGGCCAGCGGCGCCTCTTCGGCGAGGCCTCTCTAGGCCTGCCCCGCTCTATGGCTTTAACTGTTTCGGCGGGTTGGCGGAAGCGCGGGCTTGGGCCGCGCGAGGAAGGCCGCGTGGGGTGTACCGGTTGCGCTGGTTAAACTTGGTTAAAGGAGGCTGGGCGGGGTGTTGCGGGCGGCGGCGGCGGCGGGGGGGAGGAGGAAGCGTTGCGCGCGGTGGGAACTCGGCCCGTTTGGCGGCATCGCAACGCGGGGTATAAAATGAACAACGCTCACCAAAGTGAAGTGGGAGTGGGTGGCTGGGTGGGAGCGTGACTTCATAGGCGTAGGAACTCTTTGGGCTGGTCCAGGGGTAGGCAACCTCGGCTCTTTTATGACTCGTGGACTTCAACTCCCAGAATTCCTGAGTCAGCTGTGCTGACTCGGGAATTCTGGGAGTTGAAGTCCACGAGTCATAAAAGAGCCGAGGTTGCCTACCCCTGGCCGCTGGTCGTTTTCAGCCTAACAAGGTTGCTAATGGTGGGGGAAAGCGGGTGACAGATGAACTTTCAAGAATATAAAACGCATTTTTATTTTATTTTTTTCAAATTTTAAGATTTCAGGGCTCTCCCTTCTGCTGCTCGTGGTTGTGAAGATAATGGAACAAAACAGAACAATTCTTTATTGGCCAGGCGTGATTGGACACACAAGGAATTTGTGTTCGTGAACTCAAAACCAACTTTCTGGATTTGCAAAACGCTTTTATCTCGCCTAGTAGGCGCCTGGCTATAATACTGTTTGGGATTTAGTGGATCACGAAAGTTAAAGCCCTGGGGGAAGATCCCTTTTTTTTTTTTTTAAACAGCAGAGTTGGGAGTTTCCCTCTTTTGATCCAGAAGGCAGGATCCAGAAGGAGTACTTGTGATGCCCCCTCTGGGTTTAGGAAAGAAATCTCTCAATTCTTTTGCGGTCTCTGCTTCTGAAAACAGGTTGAGCGATCAGAAGCAGGCAAAAACTCTGGGCCTGTTTTGAAATCTTGTAGGTGTTCTCCCAAAATGGCTGCCAGGGTGGGCCTGGCCAGATGCACTCCCAACCTGCTATTCAAAGCTCGGCATGGCTGACGGGAACTGCAATCTAGCACCACCTTCAAGGGCACTTGAAGGAAGTGCATTGTGTAGACCAGTATTTCTCAACCGTGGCAATTTGGGGTGTGGATTTCAGCTCCCAGAATTCCCCAGCTAGTAAGGAAATTGGCAGCTAAAATCTGCACATCTTCAAGTTGCACTGTTAGGAAACACTAATGCAAATTAATGATTCCCAACTTAGATAACTAGTTGACGTGCGAATCCCGGGGCCCCCCCAAAATTCCCAACAACTGGCCAGGTTAGCTGTGGAAATGTGTCTTTCTGGACTAGATAAATAAATCTAATGTAAATGTATTGCTATGTAAGCAGTCAAGAGTCTTTGCGGGATAGAAATGTTTTAAAAACAATAAAGGGGGGGGGGGGGCGCTAGCCCAACATTCTGTATCATGCAGTGGCCAATCTGGAAACTCACCCACATGAACAGAGGGACCATAAGTCTTTCCTTTTGGGGTTCCCCAACAATTGGTGTTTAAAAGTGGCTGCTAGTAATTCAAAAAAATAGCAAAGAGCCACCAAGCAGCCACTGAGAGCTAGACCCCACCCTACCCCCNCAACCTCGGCTCTTTTATGACTCGTGGACTTCAACTCCCAGAATTCCTGAGTCAGCTGTGCTGACTCAGGAATTCTGGGAGTTGAAGTCCACGAGTCATAAAAGAGCCGAGGTTGCCTACCCCTGGCCGCTGGTCGTTTTCAGCCTAACAAGGTTGCTAATGGTGGGGGAAAGGGGGTGACAGATGAACTTTCAAGAATATAAAACGCATTTTTATTTTTTATTTTTCAAATTTTAAGATTTCAGGGCTCTCCCTTCTGCTGCTCGTGGTTGTGAAGATAATGGAATAAAACAGAATTCTTTACTGGCCAGGCGTGATTGGACACACAAGGAATTTGTGTTCGTGAACTCAAACCAACTTTCTGGATTTGCAAAACACGGGGTGACAGATGAACTTTCAAGAATATAAAACGCATTTTTATTTTTTATTTTTCAAATTTTAAGATTTCAGGGGTCTCCCTTCTGCTCGTGGTTGTGAAGATAATGGGAATAAAACAGAACAATTCTTTATTGGCCAGGCGTGATTGGACACACAAGGAATTTGTGTTCGCGAACTCAAACCAACTTTCTGGATTTGCAAAACGCTTTTATCTCGCCTAGTAGGCGCCTGGCTATAATACTGTTTGGGATTTAGTGGATCAGGAAGGTAAAAGCCCGGGGGGGGGGGGGGGGAGATCCTTTTTACTTTTCTTTTTTTTAAACAGCAGAGTTGGGAGTTTCCCTCTTTTGATCCAGAAGGCAGGACCGATTACTTCTGATGCCCCCTCTGGGTTTAGGAAAGAAATCTCTCAATTCTTTTGCTGTCTCTGCTTCTGAAAACAGGTTGAGCGCCAGATCAGAAGCAGGCAAAAACTCTGGGCCTGTTTTGAAATCTTGTAGGTGTTCTCCCAAAATGGCTGCCAGGGTGGGCCTGGCCAGATGCACTCCCAACCTGCTATTCAAAGCTCGGCATGGCTGATGGGAACTGCAATCTAGCACCACCTTCAAGGGCACTTGAAGGAAGTGCATTGTGTAGACCAGTATTTCTCAACCGTGGCAATTTGGTGTGTGGATTTCAGCTCCCAGAATTCCCCAGCTAGTATGGAAATTGGCAGCTAAAATCTGCACATCTTCAAGTTGCACGGTTAGGAAACACTAATGCAAATTAATGATTCCCAACTTAGATAACTAGTTGACGTGTGAATCCCGGGTCCCCCCCCAAAAAATTCCCAGCAACTGGCCAGGTTAGCTGTGGAAATGTGTCTTTCTGGACTAGATAAATAAATCTAATGTAAATGTATTGCTATGTAAGCAGTCAAGAGTCTTTGCGGGATAGAAATGTTTTAAAAACAATAAATGGGGGGGGGGGGGGGCGCTAGCCCAACATTCTGTATCATGCAGTGGCCAATCTGGAAACTCACCCACATGAACAGAGGGACCATAAGTCTTTCCTTTTGGGGTTCCCCAACAATTGGTGTTTAAAAGTGGCTGCTAGTAATTCAAAAAAATAGCAAAGAGCCACCAAGCAGCCACTGAGAGCTAGACCCCACCCTACCCCCACTTCATTTGTGCAGCTGCCTTTAAAGCTGCCTGCACTGATGGTTATTTTGCATCTAATGGCAGAAAATTCCAGTTAATTATGCATTAAAGTCATCCTTTCTCAGAATAGTCAAAGATAGCAAAAAAAAATGAAGCGGGATCAATAAACAACACAGCTTGGAGGAGAGAGAAGAGCAAAAATGTAAGCTGCACAAGCTGGATCAATCTCTCTCTTGTTTTTTTTTAAAAAGGAGCCTTTATTATTTTAATCTTCACAGTGCACTAAAAATACTCAGGGGGATCTCCGCCTACTATAAAGGGGAGAATGAGGGTGATCCATTCTTAGGTCTACTCATGTACACATCTGTCCAGTGTGCACCTTTTTATGTTTTTTAAGATCAGAACTGGAAACGAAACTCTTCGGGCACTCGGAGCACTCGTAGGGCTTCTCCCCCGTGTGGGTGCGCTGGTGCGTGATCAGGTTGGCTTTGACGCTGAAGCTCTTCCCGCAGTAGGGGCAGCTGTACGGCTTCTCCCCAGTGTGCCTCCGCTGGTGCTGAACCAGGTGCGCCAACTGGCTGAAGTTGTTGCCGCAGTACGAACAGTTGTATGGCTTCTCGCCCGTGTGCACCCGCTTGTGGGTCAGCAGCCGAGAGTTCGTCACGAAGCGCTTCCCACACTCCAAGCAGGGGTACGGCTTCTCCCCCGTGTGGGATTTCTTGTGGATGTTGAGGTTGCCTTTCTGGCTAAAACTCTTGCCACACTCAAAGCACTGGTGCGG